ATACTTGCTATCGATCAGAATGCGACAAAATAGGATAATGATTATCGAGAAACTTGTCATGTGAATCGAAGAAAAAGAGAGAAAGAAAGAAAAAGGAAGAGATGAGACCGATCACGGCATCTGGTTCACGTCGTGCGATTGCAGGTGGGGAAATAGCGTGAGAGAACTCGTCACATTGATCCGGCCCGCGCATAACACCACTGGTGCGTAGAGGAAGCAGAAGATGAGGAAGAAGAAACCGCGAGAGCTGATGTGGCGGCACTTTCACTCGGCAGAGTATGTCGAGGATGCGCACCGCTCGTGAACTTGCTTTACTCGCCTCTTGCCGGTGCGATGAGCATGAAAGATCAAACTCAGGCAGGCTCGGCCTTTTATGCCGGATTATGAATCGACTTGACGCAACATCATCTTACGGAGCAGCACGCCCAATCGCATTTTTTTCTCACTAACACAAGCGTGACAGCGTAATTCTTCTTGATTTTTAACAATAATTTGCAGCGAGAAAAAATTCGGGGCACGCAAAATTCTATTAAAAATTTTACATATCGCATAACAAAGGAAACATTGGAAGAAGCAAAACACGTGCATGAGATACATGTATTAAAATATGCTGCAGAAAATTATAAATAAATTTCCATTTTGAATTTTGTCGTAAATTGTAGATTGAAGCAGCATTTTTAGAACATTCACTAAATTAAAAGTATGCAGTAAAGCACGTTCATACATTTATATATTTTAATTAGATATATAATAAATTACGAAGTATATCTTAAAAGCCTCGATGTTAATTTTAATAATGCATATTTTTCAACCAATGTAGAATCGATTTTTTATATCTGATATCGATGCAAATAAACAAATCAGAGCTGGCGTGACTCATCATTATATCTTGCATAATAAATTTATGTTAAAAATGAATAATTAGAATAGAGGAGCTCCTAAAATTATTATAAGCTCTTTTAAGCCGAATCAATTTATTGAAGAGTGTCTGTAAAGAAATTAAAAGGTTGTGGCACAATGACTATTCTGAAAATCTTAATTTCACAGAAAAATCGATTCCCGATATAATACAAAGTTTGTATGAATTTTATATTAAGTCATGAAAGATTTGAAGAATGTCTTAACTACGTTTACCGCTAAATTATCTTGATTATGGCCATTATATTTCCTGTATAACAATATGTATTATCTCGAGATCAATTTAAGCAAATAATGAACCAAGTCTTGTAACGATCGAAGAAAACTGTTAGACCATCTATAGTACTCGTACTGCACGAAAGCTAATTGGTTAGATTCGAAAATAACTCCAATCAAATTTGACCGCTTAGCGATTTCACATCTAATAATCATGTTCAGTGGAGATAACAATGGTACAACCGCCGAGTAACAATCAGTTTTCTCTGCCAAGTGTAATCAATTTCGATGACATAAAAATCTTTATAAAGATTCTTGCTAAATAAAATTAAGAATAAGATGAGAAACGCAAGATAATACGCGGCGTATTTATCACTTTTTTTTTAATCACAAATTGTCTGACGAATTGAAATTGAAAGATAATTAAACTTTATAGGAAAAAGAGATAGATAAATAGATAGAGAGACCACTTTTAAAAATTTAAAATTTTCTCTCCTCGAGAAAAATTACGCAATCAATTAACAAGATTTATTGCGTGCTTTTTCTTTTTCCAAATAATGAACTTTGATTCAATTTCGATGACATAAAACTTATAAAGAAGATTTAATACGCGGCGTGTTGTATCACTCTTTTTAATCATAAATTGTCTGATGAATTGGAATTGAAAAAAAGATAATCAAACTTTATAAGAAAAAGAGATAGATAAATAGAGACCACTTTTAAAATTTTCTCTCCTCAAGAAAAATTACGCAATCAATTAACAAGATTTATTTCGTGCTTTTCCTTTTCCCAAATAATGAACTTTCCGCTAGTTGCATCACGATGTATCGTGATATCTTGTAGATTTCGGATTTCGTGTACAGAAACGCGGAAATGGGAGATGCGTGAAAGTGCACTTCACCAGGAGTGTCGCCAAGTACGTTTCGATTATACAACGAGTCCTTGGCGTTGAATAACGTACAAATCCAGCGATGAAAGATGAACCCGATCCGCATGAATGCAATTAAACGCGAATGCACCGTGCAAAGCACCGTATCGTATTGCAAGTTTAGAGTGAAAGTTTCGAGAGATCGAAGGCTTCTGTCGAAGAACCGGCTTGGTTGTTCAAAATCATTCATTTCGGCCGGACACGTTATTTTTCAATCTATCAAACTCGATAATCGATTCAGATTCTTTTAAAATCTCTATTTAAAATCTCTTTTTCTTATCGTTGATCTATTAAAGAATATTTTCTGCGCAGATTTGATAGTGATCGAAACCTTTTCGCGTTAAGGTTCAGACGTGAAGAGTCATCGAGATAGAAGCATGAGGGATAGAGGCAAGCGTGAAAAATTCGAGGCGTGGGAGCCGATTAAACAATGATTGTTCCGACATCGTACGTGATGTCGGACGAGAGGTCTACGGGGCCGATGAGAGAAAAGTTCGGAAAGGATGCCGAGGGGCTTTCCACTTTCGACTTGCGAAAAATCGCCGGATCAACGGACCGCGAAGCTGCCTCCTCTTCGCGATTATTAAGGAAGTCGTAAATGTTACGGCGCGCGTTTTCTAGCGTAGCCGGACGATCTGTTGGCGCGGATCGATCATGTTGATACATCGGTTACGAAATGTCCGGAACTCTTTCAACGGGTGGGAGCCTCTCCAGTTGCGCGTATTACGTGTCGTTCTGAATCCTGGCGCAAGTTTCCTCGGGCACTCCTCACGAGATTGGCATTGTCGGTAGGCCGTTTCGTAAGAGCTACCTGCCCCATGTAATACGGGGCTCTTTTTTTTACCGCAAGTCCGGCTTTTATCTCTCGGAATGGATCTCCAGCGGAATGAAGGCGGAGGGGGAAAAAAAGGAGAAGAACTTTCTTCCCGCGGCGCTCGAAAAAGATGCCATCTACTTCGTCGGTCGTCGAACTCGTCGCGTCTCGCGGGTATATCCGTCACACCCATCTTTCCGTGTCATCGATCCCTAATAATTACTTTCTCTCGAAACGCGCGTCGTTAACTAAGAGCATCTCGTCGACGTGACCACGCATTAAGAGGATTTCGAATAAAGATTCTTGAAAGGATATCTTTTCCTTACTGTGATTATGACAGAAATCGATCGAGAAATAATTCCAAGTGAAAACTGAGGAAACATTACACGATCGTGTCATGAATTCAACTACACCTTTTTATCAGATCTATCAAATTCGTCGATTAGATCATTTCGTTATTTCTTTGCCGATTTTAAAGAAAAAAATCTCGCGCACTATGCGATTTTAATCTTGGTTCTGGTCCACTACTCTGGTCGACCTTGTACAAAGAGAGAGCATGGATCTGATGCATCTAGACTGCAACGAGGATAAGCTTACAATTCGAGAAATTTTGCTCTATTTTTTATATATACAAAGATTTCCATCAATCTCGATCGTTATCGGATTAACGCGCGTATCGACCCTCGCTAGCTCAGATTCATGAAACTCCGATTTCGACCTTAATTAGCGCCATGCACGACCGTACTACATGACAACTAGGTCGTTAGGCTTCCAATGCGCATATTTATGACGCTCGCGTGTTGCACCTCGAAGATTCGAGCGGAGAATAGAAATTGATCTACTGACAGTCCAGCGACTTCAACAGAGCGCGTCGATTCATTAATGCGATTCATAATGAGCTAGCACACTTCACGGTAAATTGCCGCGAGCGTAAAGAGGACTCCGAACGGCGAATCGCAGAGAGAATCATCTCTCTACCTTTTATCCGAATCAGTGACTATAAATTAACGCGATTTATTGCTTTCTTCTTTCTAAATTGATATCTCAAGAGTCTCATTACTTTTGCATCGATGCCGTTGTAAACTTTAAAAATCACGTACACAGTAAAACGTTTATTACTTTATTCAATGATTTAAACAATAGCCAGATCCTTTTTTGTAAGAATAAATAATATTTTAGAAAGTTTTCAGATTGTAATGTTTATGTGTACCGATATCAAATATCTCATTAAATGGAAAATGGGCAATGAAAGTTATATCGCGCGACATTTGCGGTGATCATCATTTACGAATACATTAAGATTCACGGCATGTAACTGTGTAATGAGAGATACAATGTAGCACTCGTAGTCTCCGAGAACGTTTTCCAAATCCATACAATTCGCTAACAACATTCCTATGATTTTAGTTTAGCGCATTGTAACCAAGCGAGTAGCCGGAAATATTAGATTGACAAGTCGCATGGGAGATCTCGTCGGGTCAACGATTCATCAAGTAGCCCATCGGAAACCGTTAACCGAGGCGAAGCGGCTCTTCCGCGCGAGCGATACGATATATCTGGAAATCGCGAAACGTATAATGGAAGAAGAAAGTAGCCACCGTGAAATGCTCATCGCAGGTTTCCTCCAACAAAGTAGAAACTCGCGAGTACATCGATCGCGCCTATAGTCTACGTGAGAAAGAAAGATTGCTCTCGCCAAGTAACTTCATTAAATAATCATGTTAATGATCGAACTTGAATATTATCGCGGTTATAGTCGCTTCGCCCAATAAAGGGTACAAAGGACTATGCATCTTCCCCAGCACATTACACTCTTTCTATCAGCATCCAAACTGGAGCTTGAGGCACCATTATTAATTTGTTAATTTGTTTAATAATTATTATTAATTATGATGATATTACAGATATATATAGTTTTTCTTACGCTAATCACTTTGTCACTCATCTGATCGATTATTCGAGCCGCACTGTCACTTGAACCGCACGTGATCCACCGCGCGAAGGAAATAAGAAGAGATCGATAGACAACGTGACAGGTGGAAGAGAAAGAAAGAAGAGAAAATTTGGAGGAAAGTTGAGCGAGCGGAAAAACTGATCGGTGAATGAGAGTGGTTTCGTACTCACCAAGCGCATGATGCTGTCTGTGCCCACACTCACCAGGGTCTCGGCTTTTACTCCGGGAAAGATGATCTCCGTAGGTATAGGTAGGTAGGTGATAGTTTTGTGAAAGAGAGGTGGGGTCACGTACACCTCATCGATGTTAAAACACGTACATACCGCGTACATGCGTACACGTACGCGACAGATTCGGCTACTTTTCTGCTACTTTCGGCTCTTTTGAATATTATTATCGCGTGCCCGTAACCCATTTTCGTCGCATTCCCGCGCATTTTGCGAGGAGGAACTTTGAAGACTCGTCATTCAAAAGGAAATTAAACTATATCTATAAATTGTAGATTAAAAATAATTTAACGGATTTAGTATGATATTTTTTTATTAGTTACACATGATGCTTCTTTCGTTCTAGTATACAAAGTGTCATTTAATTGGCGCCACTATTTATATAGCGATATTCCTCGTGGAAAACTGAGTTGAAAAGTCTTGAACCATTTTTTTCAATTAAGTGACACCCTGTATATTAGACAGCGCAATATTGAATTCTAATTAAATTATTCCAATTATCCCAAAAAGAAGGAAAAAAGCTACATAAACATAGGTCTGGAAATAAGTTGTTTCCGACTTATAGTCACTTTTATGTGTAAAAAATCATAATTTATAGTCCGCTTGGTATCCCTCTCTTTAAAATTGTTTAAAAAATTTTAAATTTAAATTTAAATTTTTAAATTTGAATTTTTAAATTTAAAAATTTAAAAATTTAAATTCAAATTTAAAAATTTAAATTCAAATTTAAAAATTTAAATTTAAATTTAAAAATTTAAAAATTCAAATTTAAAAATTTAAAAATTTAAATTTAAATTTAAATTCAAATTTAAAAATTTAAATTTAAATTTAAAAATTTAAATTCAAATTTAAAAATTTAAATTTAAATTTAAAAATTTAAAAATTCAAATTTAAAAATTTAAAAATTTAAATTCAAATTTAAATATTTAAATTTAAATTTAAATTTTTAAATTTGAATTTAAATTTAAATTTAAATTTTTAAATTTGAATTTAAATTTTTAAATTTTTAAATTTGAATTTTTAAATTTTTAAATTTAAAAATTTAAATTCAAATTTAAATTTAAATTTAAAAATGTTAAAAGGAGGGATGTATCAAATAATATAAAAATTATATTCTTAATTTATAATTCATATTATGTTCGTAAAAATGAAAGAATGAGGAAATTTCAGGAACAAATTAATTACGATAATGGAACATCGTAACAGAGGATGCGAACAATGTGTTTACATTGCATCAACGGGGTCAAATCGATCTATCGCTCGCGCAACGACCTTCGCCTGCCGCGAAAAACGCGCAGAAAGGCAAGAACCATGGCGGCGGTACTATTGGCGAAGTTGTGTTTTCGCTGTGTCGTACGCTTTTCTGACCGAGAGTACGTGCGCTGAAGGAAACAAAACGACGACAATTGATCGGCGAGAAAAATGGTACGTGAAAATATGATCAGCTGTGACTGTCGTTGCTAAATAAACGCGTCGTCGAGTGCTGAAATGTTTGGTGATAATCTAACCTCGTCGGACATATTGTCGTCATAATATGCGTGTTACATCATATACATTTTATTATTTACAGTTGCGTCAGACACACTATTATATATTGTCATGTATCTTGCTTTGTAGATCTAACATTTGAGTATCTTTCAGAAGTTTGTGTATTATTAATCCTAAGTAAATTTCTCTAAATCTATTATAATAACAGCCAAAGTCTTCTCATGTGTTTTCGTGTGTATATGTTTGCTTATGTTTGCAAAATATCGTTAAATAAACAGCCGAGCAAAAATTTATATTTTTTTACTCTACTTAATAGACATGTATATATGAATAGTGATAAATAATCATATGTACAGATGCACGTATATATTTGTATCGTATGAAATCTTTGCATAAATAATTAATGCTTTCATTTTAGTTACTAAACTATTTCTTGCTTTGTGCATTGGCAGAACCATTGCAGTGAATCTAGCGATGACCTGGATGAAGGCGATGAAGAGGCGTCTTCTTTGCAAGATGGAACAAACATTGAGGATGCCTTAACATCTTTCAGGGAACAGTGGCAGCGAGAGTTGACAATATCACCCAAGCGTGATATAGCAAGAACACATTCACCAAAACAGCCTAGCATTGAAGTCGCAAGCGATGAAGCCTCTATTGAAAGCAGGGTATGTTAATTATTGTCTAGAAATAAGAAGCTTTATCATATGACACTCTTCGTTATATATCGCATTGTTTATTTTAGGCAAAGAATTTATTTCTCAAAGGTATTGAACATGAACAAAGCAGAAAGTTTTATGAGGCAATTCAATTTTATAAGCGTGCGGTACAACTGGTTCCTGATATCGAAGTCCGTTTGTATGAATCGACCAAAGCAAAAACAAGAGACAGATTTGATGCTGATGACAAACTTGATACACTAGACAATGATTACTCAACTAGCAATGACAGCGAAAATTATAATGAAGTGGATGAAGAAGAAACTGACTTGTATCTAAAATTGTCTAAAATTGTAAATCGCAATCAATGTGTATGTTTCCCAAAATTTGAACAAAGTGTAAGTATTTTGTTACAATCTATAATAATAATTTTCAGTATGCGATATTTTATACAGACTGATTCTTTGACTATATAATTACATTTGATTTGAAATATATGTTTCAGACAACGCATATATCTGCTTTGCCAATGGAGATAGTGCTTTACATTCTAAGATGGGTTGTGTCCTCTGATTTAGATTTTGCATCATTGGAAATGTTCTCAAGAGTATGTCGCGGATTTTACATCTCTGCGCAAGATGCGGAAATCTGGCGATTGGCGTGCGTCAGGTAAATATCAATAAACATTAACGTTATTGATTAATATAATTCGAATTTTCGAAATCGTTATTCATAGAGTATGGGGTGTGAATTGCGGTACTTGCGAGTCGAAATATCAATCGTGGAGAGATATGTACTTGCAACGGCCTAGATTAAGATACAACGGATGTTATATCAATAAAACAAGTTATATTCGTGATGGAGAAAATAATTTTCAAGATCATTTTTATAGACCATGGCATCTCGTTGAGTATTTCCGGTACCTGAGGTATATAACTGTTTCTCAGTATAGTATTATTATCTGTAGTTTGTATAAAACGTCTTATTTTCATATGTAACCATACCATTACAAAATTAATTAAAAATCCAAAGCAGAAACATATAACTTATAATCTTAAACTATAATTTAATTTTGCTCTTCATTAATGCATTTAGATTTTTTCCTGAAGGAAGAGTTTTAATGTTGACATCGACTGATGAGCCTCAAAATTGTGTAAATTCTTTACGAAACCGTGTACCACGCAATACATCAGTTCTAATTGGTCACTATAGATTACATAATAATTATGTTACACTGGTGCTAAAAAGACAAGAAACTAAAGGAATTAATTTCACCTATAGACGAAAAAAAAGAGAGTCAGTGCATGACAGTGGCGAACAAACATTTCATATTGTAGGTATTAACTGAGTCTGAAATTGAATAATTTATATGTGCAAAAACTATATTTCACTATGTGCCGACATGCATATTATTCTAGGAATTCGAGATACGAAAACATCGTAGAAGAATAAATTCGCAATTAAAGTGGATCAGTTATAGTATTTTCACGAAATATAAAAACGGACAAGAGGCAAAAATTTGCTTAAAGGAACCATCTGTAAGAGAATTTGGAGCGTCGCCACATATCGGCAGCAGATATCCACCTCTTAAATTCAGCAGGTCAAAGAGTTACACTCAGGAAAGTGAAGCTCCATTGCAATGATGAGAGTAGCAACAAATGAATTGTATGAATCATAAGAGTACAACTTTGAAATATTCTAGCAGGAAAGAAATAGTGATTTGCAGCAAATTGTATAAACATGCAAAAATCTAATTTCAATTAACTATGTACACGTACGTTTGGACGTACTAGTGTGAATAATGAATTACATGTAGCATATATTTTTGAAGATATTTTATTTCTCTCGTATCACGTTGTATTTTTTACAACGATTTCTATTAGTACATTATACAACCTGTAAATCACAACTATTTTTTTAAATATGTTATTTATGTCGATAACAACACATTCTCAATCACATGGAGGTGTAAATAAATTATTTATATATCTAATGTATAATTATTAAGCATATAATAATTATTTATATTATTTCACAATGAGTTGTATATTTAAGAACTTAAAGTGTAATATTCAAGAATGCAATTATAGATTTTCTGTTAATACTTCACTAATTATTGCTTATCCTTAGCGTAGTTAAGTTTCAAAATGCGTATTGAATAAAATTACGCATAACAAACTTGTAAAATTATACATAAATAAATTTTTCGGGCAACACATTACAAGTTATTAAAATTTACAATTTTGTTAATATAACAAATATAACAATGCACATCCACCTGTGGTATAAAATGCAAGATGTATATATGTTAATTCGACATTGGAAATATGCGAAGTATATGTTCATACTTTGCACTATATTATATTGCTTTTGCTATCAGATAATTCTTTTCATAGAGTCGTAAATCTAAGAACCTTGGTTTTATTAAGTTTATCTTGATCAATTATTTTATAATTGTCTATAAATTGAAATTTACATATCTCTCTATCTGGAATAAGGTAGAAACTAGTTAATATTTATAGGACAATTTTGTTGCGAATGCAGAATAAATTGTACTATGCTGGAATTGAAACCAACATTCACTGATTTATATTTTAAAACAGTTTTATTTGTTTTAGAATATATATATGTATGTATATTATAGGTTTTTTGTAAATTTGCTTTTTCCATAAAAGGCTAATTTTACAAAAAGCCTACATATATGTATACATAATGATGTGTAACAAAATGGACGTTTAGAAATATGTATATTGTTGGATAACTTTGATAGAGGTATCTCTGCACAATCCGAAAATTTGTAATTTTATTTAATTTTTTTTTATCAGCCACATAAATATTGCTTGCTCCACTTTGACACGAGGTTTAAAAATTTTTTCGAGATACAATATACAGATATTTCAGGACTCGTGAAACAAGATAAACTTAAGCGAGTGGTTTTTCGGACCGCCCGTGAAGCAGGCAACCGGTTGCACGACAGCTTTGCGTCAGTCAATAGTTTAGCCTATGTTCTTTAAATAGAATAAAATAAAAAACAATAAGAGGAGCAAAAAGAAAAAACTTACTATATTAATAAAATTATTACAATTTGATGCACTATTACTATATTAAAATTTGCTTAATATCTATATGTTGATTAATTTTAATAAACATATAAACTTCACATACACGCACACATGCTCACACATGATTTTTCAAAAGCATGTGAGAGATTATGTTACATACGTAATCTACGTTTCATTATTTCTCTATTTTACTCACTTGAACACTTTTTTACGTAAAATTATCCGTGTTGTCAACATTTTCATGCGGCAAAATTGCAATAATGTGCAAAGCATTGATTTGCAACTTTTATTTGTTAATCATCTTTAACAATTAAATTGCATCAAATAGGCTATTAATGTATTTAAATATATTTTACGTATATTTAAACATATTTTTTAAAAATGACACTAATATCCAAAGTGTTTCTTTCAAATAATATTTTAAACCCAAATTCTCGTGCATTACCTATGTACATAAAGTTCAACCGTGTCTTTGGACGCAAGAATGTGCAGACCTCTGGATTCTGGAATTGTTACGTTATAACAATAAACACATTTCTTATACATATTGCTTTCCAAATATCACCGCTAGTATATTTCCTCCCGCTATTTATTGATAAAGTACATACAATTGACTATTAAATTTCTAACTTCTTTTAATAGACTCTTATTTGTTCTCAAGGAATCAATTATATAAAGAATAAGCGAATTGTAAGAGAATGTGACTGATAAATATTTATTTCGCATAAAATTCATTTCTAATGCTTCGAGTGTTTTAATCTCTGCATTTTTTCTTTCTTTATGTATACTATATAAAGATATATTATTTCTTATTTTTTCGTAGAATTATAGTTAGAATATTATTTAATTTCTCAATGACAATAAAATTGCATTTAAATGCTAAAATGTTGGCAAAAAAATTTAAAATACGTACAATGCAAATTTATTTTTAGATTTTGAATTCAATTTTATCAACTTTATAAATGAAAGAAGTCTTGATGCAATGTAATATTCCTACTGGTTATGATAAAAATAATTTATGCATATTTAGTATAAATGCTTCGTTAAAACTAAAAAATATATGAATAATATTTCTTCTCAATTATTTGTCACCATAGCACAGATATTTTAAAATAAATCACTTATCCATTCTCTCTTTCTCGCTTTTTCTCTTTCTCTCAGTAGGCTTACTTCTTTGTCACTCGCATCAGCCAGTTTATCACTTTTATTAATTTATCTATCGTTTGCGTCAGCGAAACTATAGATAAATTAGATATAAATATAAATTTCCAATTATCGTACGGCATTCGATATGATAAGTAACCGTATACTTTGTACTCATGATTGTACTCAAACCGTTCTGCAATGATCACATAAATTAAATAACTCTTATAAACTCTCTGTCATATATATGTATAATATATATAATATATAATATATTATATATATTATAATATTGTATAATATATTATATTTCTTTAATATTTATAGATTTATCTATTATATTACATATGTAGAATTAAGCACACTTTCTGGTCTCCAAGTGTCGAAGCGCTCGACTAATCGCCAGTTGTTATAGGCTCGGTTTATCACAGACTGCAGCAAACCGTCGCGTTTCTTATTTTAATCACAATTCTTCGCGATCCGAAGGAGGATAGCTTGTTTTATTGCATGTAGACGGATCGGACATCCAGGCAAGATCCTTCAAAGTGGCGGTATGCATGGAGCATACCGCCAGGACGACCATTACATGCATCACATTATGGGAATTTAACACTAGATCCAATCTGCCGGGAATCCATTTCTCTGGAATGCGAAGAGCGCCGATGGTTGCACCTATCACAGCTACGAGATCCTGCAAATTAATTCCTTATTATTAATATCCGTATAATTAATATTCGCTTACGCGATTATGAGAAATATTAAAAAATAAACCTGTAATATTATATGTATAAGAGCGTCGGGTGATCCACCACCGATGCCGAAGCACCTCAACGTCATGATCAACATCCTCATTAGGAAAGGAGGGGCAAAACACAAACGTCTTTCCCATGGTGACCCCGCAGTCATCGCCTGTGCAAACGTTTAAGACTGTCATCGTGACGAGAGAGAAATATCAACTAATGTGTTAATTAGCTGTGTAAGTTAGAAAATCACCTTTAAAAGTCCCCAAATGCTGAGGGTGCAGTAAATAAAAATGCAGCAATACCAGACGTTATCGGCGAGGCAATGAACCGCGGCTGCCATCATCGGTATAGCTCCTGAAATAAAAAAGCGTCTATTGCTTAAGCTGCTTAATGAGATGCTCTGCATCTAAGTAGAAATTTAATAGGGCTCTTCGTTTGAAGAATCGATTTTGAGCAAGTTTCATACAGAAAATCTTATATAAATTACAAACTAGTCATACATCTTCCTAATCATAGTTTTTTCATTCATTTTATCTTGTTTCAGAAAAGATGATCTGATCTATAAATGCATCACGCACCGAAGCTCTGGCATAGCCATATGCCGATCATGTCGACTTTTAGCAGTGTTCTGTAGAGGACTTCATCGTAGTTGACGTTCATGAAGAGATGGTACAGAAAGGATCCTACCCATGGGCTAACGGCGCCAATCAAATGGCACCAAGACAAAATTCCTACAAGTGTTCCTTTTGTGTTCCATGGAAGTAAATACGGTACGGTCAGTAACATGTAAAGGATAGCGAATCCTGAAATCATACGCGATTGCTCATTTATTGGATGCTTTCAAGTAATATATTTTAAAACGAAGCTTTTTCTCTGATGTTATTTAAAAATATGTTGTGCCGCTTTGTGATAATCCACTTTTCATAAGTTTTTGACAGAGAATAATTACATTATTTAAAAACGTTAATTAATATTAGAGATAAAGATAGAATTTTCATTAAACGAATTATGTGATATAAAAATAATTTTATCTAATCTTTTTATTTTTACATTATTTTCTAATCTTATCTAATCTAATCTTATCTAATCTTTTTTTCTTATCTAATCTTTTTATTTTTACATTATTTTCTGTCTCACCAGTCATTACTAGGATTGATAATAGTGTCACGATGATAATGCAAAATCGAGTAATGATAACTGAAGAAGAATTTTAAGAAAAAGATTGAAATATTCACGAAAATTTTTAATTTTCTTAAAAACTCATTTTAAAAAGTCTATATTAACGAGCCTCTCCATATACAGTGGGAAGCTCTGACCTACTAAGATTTTATTTCACGCACACGTGCGCCGGTCGATACGCGAGATTTATATACAGGTTGGTCCATTAGAGGAACACGGGACACCAAGATAACTCTCGAAAGATATGAAAGAATATTGGTGGATAATTCGTAGCATTTTAAAAGACAAATTAAGAAATTTTCTTTCTGTTCTTACTCTAGCTCTGTAAGAAAAATTTCGAAAATTCACCCTCGTGTTCGCGTTATTATGGTCTATTTTATGCATGAACGAGCAATGTCGCACGAGGGACAACCACGTTACTTTTTTCGAACTTTATCTGATATACATGTGAAAATCGTGATAAATGATTTACTCGACTAGTCTATCGCGGTATTGTTAACAATTTATCAATGAAGACGCGGCTTTGGCGGGAATATTATATGGTTTCGTTCTCATCGATCGTGTCCGTTACTCTGCAATGCGTCTTCGTGATGTTTTCACGGAAGTTTGGCCTTGATAATTCCACCTTGACTTTAAAACCATTAAAGGATCCAATCCACTTTTCTCACTTAATATAGTTACCAGGACGGCAAATCTCGTGGATGATATAACGTTACGTTACGTTATTTCTTTATATGAAAAGTACGAAGAGTGATAATGGCTATGTATTATCTCAAATTTATTTACAGACTGATTCGTTTAATTTCATCCGCTCGTTTGTGATAATTTTTTTCTAAATGGAATAATTTTACAAACATATTTTATGTTATCGAATTTT